ACATGTGTCCGCCAGATATTGTTTGTGGGATAAATGTACCAGGAGCCACTAAATATTTGCTGAAGAAACGTCCACATATCGCAACAAAACTGTTGAGTTCTGTAACACTTGTAACGTTACAAATACGTTGCCTTGTGACGTTACATTAACAGAAAATGCGTAATAAATTCTATTAGATTAGATATCTGGAGAGAGTAGCACAATTTCATCTATTTACTATTTTTGAAATTTATTTTGGGTAAGGTAGACAGTTGTTGGCTTGCACAATATGACGGAGCATTGTCTTGAATATATATACTGTTGGATTACTGCCTCCCGACGATAATCATCTGCTCACTACCATGAATGCCTCGGCCTCTCAGGCGTTGATGCCTCTACACCACTCGAATGGATGTCTCTGCTCACTACCGTGAATGCCTCTGCCTCTCAGGCGTTGATGCCTCTATAGCACTGGAGTGGATGCCCTCCTCAAAGATGATATACTGTCGATGTGCTTGCTTTTTGCCCACAGCACCTTTCCCTCGGCAAGTAAAGATCCTGTTGTATTCTTTAGTTTTAGACCCCACCCCAGCCCCGTCAAAAAGGTTAGAAGTAAAACGATATAAAGGATATATACTTGTAAGGAATAATTTAATTATTGAAAAGTCACTTTCAAAGATTTCATATCTGCAACGATTGTGTAGCAACCCCCTATGCTGCACCGTATTACCAATTGTGTGCGTGCCTTTGTGTGTGCATGTATGTTCGTGTGTGAACGCGCACTTTTGTGTTTGTGTGTCTGTATGTCTGTGTGTTTGTGTGTGTGTGTGTGTGTGTGTGTGTGTGTGTGTGTGTATGTCCGAAAAATTCGGTCACAGAATGAAATTTAAAGACCTTACCAATATACTGATATACAAAATTTAAAATTAATGAAAGACCATTCTGGAACTTTTTTAAAAATGCTAAAGTTCATTCAATACAAAACTCAAGAGCCTCACAAGGTAGAGTGTTACTGAATGGTGTGTCTGCTATGAATTCAAGAGGAAGATTTACGAAGTGAAGGTTATAAGGATAGGGGGGATAGATAAGGATTGACCCCTGACTTGAAGAGGTTATGATTGTAATGTAGAGGATTACTGTCAAAATGCATATGATGAATGAGATGTTTGATACGATAGAAAGAGGAGGTGGTAATAAATGAAGATTATAAGGATAAGGAGGATAGATAAGGATTGACCCTTGACTTGAAGAGGTGAAGATTGTAGTGTAAAGGGTTACTTTCAAAATGGTTATGACTTGAATTTATAGGTAAATATTTGTCAGCTTTATACCTGATAATATAGGCAAACATTGTTTATATCTGTAGGTAACTGTTGATCGCGTTTATACTTGAACACGTATGTAAATATTTGTCACGTTCATATTTGTGTCAATAGGTAAACATTGATCGCCTTTATATTTGAGACTATATGTAAACGTTGATCAGGTTTACACTCGAATCAATATTTGTCAGGTTTAAACCTGAATCTATAGGTAAACATTGATCTGTATTTGTTCTTAAATCTATGACATATGTTTACTTACATTATTTACATTATTCGGACTATTGTCCTCATCTTTGTCGCCATATTTATTATAACATTTCGGCCGTTGTACGCTTCGGCCTTCTTCAGGTAGTTGGAATGTCGAACTGAACTCTTTATTTCGCTCACTGGGGTAGACTGTTCTAGTTCCACGTGCCATGTCTAATGGATGTCATCAGTTATCTCCTGATATGAAAATTCGTAAACTTAAGGAATTAGCACATATGCTAGGCCACAAAAATCTCCTGAGCCGACCAAGCATAGAAATGAATACAATAAAATAGACCTTGATAAACGATCGCTCCTCTGTGGCGAAATTGGTAAAAACACGTCAGGCTATATGACGGTTCCCTATAGGATACAGGATACAGGATATTTTCCATGAAAATTTCTCGGACATTCAGGCCGGTAAATGTTGTTAATACTGTTTATTATAAACAGAGTATTACTTAAATACTTGTATCTATAAAAAATAATGTATAAACATAAAAATGTCTTAAAATAATTGTCGGACTTTGTCCATTTAATATATATATATATATATATATATATATATATATATATATATATATATATATATATATAGTCTTAAGGTGTGTTATATTTATGGGATAAAGTGTTCAGTATCAGAGTGTGTAAATATAAAAGTGAAAATTGAAGTCAACACTTAGAGGCGACTGTTTCATGCTAGATGCAATGACGATTGCATCTAGCATGAAACAGATTGTCGCCTCTAAGCGTTGAGTTCAATGTTCACTTTCATATATATATATATATATATATATATATATATATATATATATATATACTTTCATAGATTCGGTTAACAAATCCTTCCTGTGACATCACAGGTTACATAAGGCTATTTAAAATAACAAGAGAGTGAATGTATTTCCTGTTGTATATTGTCAAAAACCCTAATTTACATAAGTCCGTGGCGCTAATTAGGAACAGAAAGCCCAATTCTCTTTCTACCATTTCTGGATACATATCACCTTTTTTTTTTCTATTCTATTGAACGCACACAATTTTATATCATAATCCTGTCTGTTCTTTCTTTAAAATCGCACAGCAATTTTAATAAATAGATTTTATACAAGTTTCTTTTTCGCAATATCGATTGGGCGTAAAACTCTTCGGACTCTACCTAAAATAACTTCATTCTTCTTTCATGTGCAGTATCCTTTCCGGACGAGGACGATCATGGCGCTACACAACTTCCTGTTTCTGGTTAATCTAAGCACATTTTGCTCTTAAATAATATCACTTTGTCCCCATTTGCCACCAGTTCACACAAGTTTGTTAGGTAGATGGCTTACTGCATCCCCCTGCCCTCAATACGTCCTGTGAGTTTTATATTTTCCAAGCTCTCTTTTCTCATTATTTTCAACTTTTTCTCTCTGATTACCAGTATATGCATCTTTCTAGTTGTCATTTTTTTTTAAATATTCCTCGTTGCTCTTATTTTCCGGCCATGGTATTTTTTTCTTTACATTTCATCACATGATCTCTTGAGAATACTTCTTCATTTTTTTTTCCTATATCTAAACAGTTACAAACAGCCTGGTGCACTAACGGCCATCAACTTATACTCCATCTGCAATCACAAAATGCCGCTAATAACAGTACAATAATAGTACATTCCATTGCTGTGAACGCAATCACAACTCGATGTCTACATTTTCTCAGCTTAGCTTTCATGGATTCATTGAGATGGAATTATTATTCGAATAGGCAATTTGTTAGGAAGTTATGCCAGTAATATATAAAATAGAAATGGTTTTATTACTTTTATTATCTGTTTATTTGATGATAATAATCTTTTCGTGTACATTATTGGTTATCGCAGCGCTGTTTTAATGTTAATATGTCAACGTCGGACGTTTCGGTCTAATAAACCATCTTCAGGACATAAGTGGACACTGAAGTCATCTTTTCATGTACATTATTGGTCATCGCAGCGAGGCCAAGGTTAGGCTACAGACAAACATCACTCAGATTGTAAGGTTTCTATTTTAGAATTTTAGCATAAGACGAACCCCAGTCTTTTAGGGTAATTATTTATTTTTATTTTTTTTATTTTTGATTTCATTTAAAAGTCATCTTACGTGAAAATATATGATATATATATATATATATATATGTGTGTGTGTGTGTGTAAAGACAAAAAGAAAAACTTATCTTACCCAATGCGTTTCATCTTCTGAGGGACTTTACCAAGGCAACTGTAAAGATGTTATTATTTTGTGACTTTTTACTTATTAATCTGACATAGTTTTATTACAAAACACCGTTCATAATAGTACGATAATAGTACATTCTATTGCTGTAAATGCAATCATCAGTCAATGTTTACATTTTCTCAGTTGAGCTTTGCATGGATACAAGTTGATTTCATTGATATGGAATTATTCTTCAAATAGGCAATTTATTATGAAATTATGCCAGTAAAAATATAAAATAGAAATGGTTTTATTACTTTTATTATCAGTTTATTTGATAATCTGAATCTTTTCATATACATTATTGATTATCGCAGTGAGGCTGCGGTTAGCCTACAGACAAACATCACTCAGAATTTAAAGTTTCTTTTTTACAATAGTAGTATAAGACAACCCCCAATTTTTAGGGGTGATTTTTTGAATTTAAACATCGTATTATACGCGGATATATATACACACACACACACATATATATATATATATATAGAGAGAGAGAGAGACAGACAGACAGACAGAGAAAGAGATAAAAGTTACTGACATTTGGAAAAACGTTCATGAAAGTATGTTTCGAAAATAATATCCGATAATGCATTTCGCCTCTAATGGCTTCCTCAGATGGATAACGAAAAATGTGCACTCTGCACTGTTTGTATGCATTTCTGTGCATTTAAAATAAATAAATCTTATATTATTTTTCCCAAGATGGCGTTACTCGAGACAAAAAACTTCTGACGGATTTGTCATCTGAATGTGGTTATAAAGTGGGAGATCAATTCTATATTGTATCCATTTAAAATAATTAAATCTTATATTATTTTTCCCAAGATGGCGTTGTTTTAGACAAAAAACTTCTGAAGGATTTGTCATCTGAATGTGGTTATAAAGTGGGAGATCAATTCTATATTGTATCCATTTAAAATAATTAAGTCTTATATTATTTTTCCCAAGATGGCGTAGCTCGGGACAAAAAACTTCTGAAGGATTTTCCATCTCTCCAGGAAGAGCTCTATGTCAAGATACAGAGCAAAATTATTATTAATTAAAGAATATCAAACACTAAATATCACATAAAATAATTTTTTTGTAGGTCTAAAAGATTAATAACCTACAAATAAAATATTTTTTGTAGGTCTTGAAGATTACGCGCTGCTTTTTTAGAGCTCTCATGAAATAAAAATTATTACCTATGTGATATTTAGTGTTTGATATTCTTTAATTAATAATAGATAGATAGATAGATAGATAGATAGATAGATAGATATGAACAGGCTGAGATAGATAGATAGACAGATAGATATGAACAGACTGAGATGGATAGATAGATATGAACAGACTGAAATAGATAGATAGATAGATAGATAGATATGAACAGGCTGAGATGGATCGATAGATAGATAGGAACAGACTGAGATGGTAGATAGATAGATATGAACAGACTGAGATAGATAGATAGATAGATAGATAGATAGATAAAATTAATATAAGTAAAAGGTTTGTTAAGTAATTCTGTTATAACGCAATAATTCACAATAAATGCATGAAAAATTCTGGTCTCAAATAAATAACTTAAATGAACACGGAGTCTTACTAACGGCATGCAGTAGAACCCCTAAAAAATGTTTGAAATCAATTTGAAAATATAAAATATTTTGAGAAAACATCGAAATTTTTATTTGTATAATTTATAGACAAAGGAATTCTAAGACACACAGACACAACATCGGTTCTTGATGATGACCGCGAAAGTCGAAAGTACTTGAACAAAAATAATAAAATATAAACTTCGTACAGTTTATGCACATTTTTGAGCACAATACTCAACAGATTGCCCGAAAAAATTAAGCAGACAGACAGCCCTTGTCAATGCTTTTTAATCAAACTTGTTTGTATATATATATATATATATATATATATTGATCGGTATCACCCATATAAGGAGTAAAGCCACTAAGATTCAAGGGGGTTACTGGGTGTGGAAGAATGAGGAACAGAAACATTAATAATGAGCGGGAAAGGAAAGAGTAATCATGAGGACAGTAGATAGCGATTGACATTGCATTTAAATATTTGAAGACTAAAGTTGACTGGAAAACATGGAGACGGAAGGGAATTCCACAAGTAAGGCAGTAAAGCCACTAAGACACAAGGGGTTACTGGGTGTGGAAGAATTAGAAACAGAAACATTAACAATGAGCGGGAAGGGGAAAGTGTCTCATTCACACAGTAAACAGGGACTATATATATATATATATATATATATATATATATATAGAGAGAGAGAGAGAGAGAGAGATGAACAGACTGAAATAGACATATATGAACAGACTGTGAAAGATAGATAGATAGATATGAACAGACCGAGATAGATAGATAGATAGATAGATAGATAGATAGATAGATAGATATGAACAGTCTGATATATATATATATATATATATATATATATATATAGATAGATAGATAGATAGATAGATATACACACAATAAAATCACCATATATGACGTGAGTTTGTATTTTATTTTGTATTATTTTTTGCTCTGTAACAATAAATACATTGAGGTCTTTTTATGGATCTGTTTTAATATTTTATATTACTAGGATCCACTTGGATTATATACCAACGGATTTATTACCTTAAATATATATATATATATGTGTGTGTGTGTGTGTGTGTGTGTGTGTGTGTGTGTGTGTGTGTGTGTGTGTGTGTGTATGTTTGCGGGGGGGGTATATACAGCGTGTCCCAAAAGTCACAATTGAGTTTTAAAGGGATATTATTCCATAAGTAGAGAATATAAATAATTTATATTTATGTAATAATGAAGATCATTAATTGAAAATTTAATTCAATTAATTATGGAAAATAATGCACGGGCTTCAGATGATGGCCCAAATTTTCATCTTCATTCATTAGCTCTTGAATTCGTCGAGCTAAATAAAGCTGCTTCTCATAATCTACTGGCTTCATTTCCTGTCTCACCTGGATTTTCTCGTGATCCTGTGTTAAATGTGTCCTCACTATGTGATCCAATGAGGCTAAAATCTCATCCAGTTGCAATGGGTGCCTTCAAATGGGCATTCCCTGTTCTTCTGTGCTGTTCAATACATGTTCGATATTTTCATCTGTGTCAGCTGAACGTCGTGTCCGACATCTTAACCAGTCATGCGCACAAGCTATTCGCTGAAACGCCCTATGAAGCGGCCAATCATTGATTCAAAGGGCGGATTTCTCAACTTGAATTCACGTTAGTATACGTTCTGCGTCAACACAATTTAATGCCGATTTCCAAAATAAAAAATAATAATTGCGCAATTTTTGTTTGTTACTGAGTTGCGAACTTATGCATAATAAAATTACAAACTTTTAACTTTCGAAAAATACGAGAAAAATATCAATTTCCTGAAATCTTATTAAATATCAAAACCCCACTGTGACATTTGGAACACCCTGTAAATATATATATATATATATATATATATATATATATATATATATAGAGAGAGAGAGAGAGAGAGAGAGAGATAGAGAGAGAGAGAGAGAGGAGGGTAGAGAGAGGGGGTAGAGAGAGAGAGAGAGTGATTGAGTGAGTGAACGAGAGAGAGAGAGAAAGAGAGATACCGGGTGTAACTGCAAAATGCTCCAAATCGTGTAACATCATGGACTAATTGTCCATCCCACAAAATATTTAATATCTAAAAAAAAACACTAAACGATTTGAGATTCTTTTTTCCAGGTTTCCATATAAGCCATCTTGAAACCATTTTTCATAAGAATCACTGAAAAACCCTTTGAACACTTCATCTAGAAAGAAAACAGGTTAAAATCATTTTGTGTCAGCCCCACTATGTCGTCCCAACTGAGCAATGGGGAGAGGAAAAAGGTCACTCAGACCTACAGTAATCGTACCAACATTCATACTCTGGCTTCCATCTTCAAAGTTCATTCAAGAACCATCAAGAGAATGGTGAATAAGTTTTAAAAAGAGGGAACAGTAGAAAGAAAAACTGGATCAGGAGGTCAAAACAGGAAGGGAGATCATCATTTCAACTTAGAGTTGAATACATTCTTATTGTTCAATAGTTTTATCATAACCTCGGAGAATTCTAGTAAGACATCTTTAATGATTTCTATGATACAACGGTTCAAAGCTTAATTTGAAAATTGGACAGTTTTGGCGTTACGCGATTCGGACAATTTTTGCTGTTACACCCGTTACACACACACACACACACACACACACATATATATATATATATATATATATAATTGCAATAAAAGTACAGATTAAAAAGTAAGCCTCAAGCTACGAATCGAAAGATCGTCAGGCCAGATTCAAATTTTAGGCTACAACATTTTATTTCACTCATCTTCGTTATTAAATAAAGATGATGAAAATAAAAAAGAAAAAAGAATTTAAATGATTATATACCCAAAACACATTAAAAAAAATGATTATATACCCAAAACACATTAAAAAAATAATTTTATAAAAAAAATAATTCCCAGCGTTCCTCACACCAAAACAATGACAAAAGTCCATATAAAAATATATCAACAAATCCTTCGTTTTTGAGTTATTAGCTTTAAAGAAAGTTTACGGTAGATGGCCCTGTGCTACCATGTAGACTAGGTTACATTTGTCATTCATGTACATTTGTGTCTAGTCTGTCTTCAATGTTTAACGTGTGTAGTAGTGAGTTAACTGAGAAGTGTTCCGTTTAATAATGGCAGAATATTCATATCATGAGAAGGCAGATATGATTTTTACATACGGCCGCGCGAATGGTAATGGACGCGAGGCTGCACAGCTGTGTCAGATTGCGTTTCCACACTGAAGGCAACCGACTCATCCAACCTTTGCTACTGTTTATCGTTGCGTTACTGTGACAGGATCCATGACACCACAAATTATGCATCATGACCATGACGAACACATTTTACAGGTGGTTTGAGACGATCAGAACACGTCAAGTCGCCCTAGCATGTCATATATCTCATAGTACCGTAGAGAACTTTTGCTGATTCGTTGTTTTTTTTCTTCAGTCTTGTTTACGGATGAAGCAACATTTGGAAGAGATGGAATAACAAATTTACACAACCAACATTTGTGGGCGGATCGGAATCCCAATGATACAATACAAGCTAGATACCAGCATCAGTTTACGATTAATGTTTTGTCTAAGTAACTGCCTTGCTGGTTCATATGTTCTACCAGCACTTCTTACAGGAACTGTTTACGGCGACTTTATTTCGAACACAGATGCAGACCTGCTGGAAATCGGACGAAAAACATAGCTGTAACTGTTATATAATGATAAGAAATACTACGTTACTTAAAAATCGAGAAATGAAAAGAGTAAATAAAATTATACAGTATAATAAATAAATAATAAAAGACAAGTAAAATAAATTAATCTAAATTAACCCAAATAAATAAATAAACAAACAAACCGATCCCGATAAATTAACCGTTAGGAAAAACAAGTAGAGATAATCAATCCAAATAAATAAATGAAGTAATAATCAAATTAAAAACTGCTTCCGCCAAAATAATAGTTAGAATAAACTACAGCAATCAACCCCAAAATTGAATAAATAGCTTTAATTATCTTCCCAAACCAAAACAAAACTATTAAATAAACGATACAAACAACTTTTTACTACGTTAATAAAACACCGATTAAAATAAAAATAAATATAATAAAAATAAATATATGAGATAAGTAATAAAAATAAAAAATGAAAAAAAATAATAAAAATAAAAATAAATAAAAACAAGCATTATTATTTAACCCAAATGAATAAATAAACAAATAAACTACTTCCGGCAAAATAACCGCCAAAAATAGACTACCCACAATACACCACTGACCCGTATATATAAATAGCCGAGAAAAAAAATAACACTAGTAGCCTGACGATTGCGTCTAGCATGAAACAGCCTGTCGCCTCTAAGTGTTGACTTCAATATTCACTTTTATATTTACACACGCTCTATCTTTGATATTGAGCACTTTATCCCATGAATATAGCACACCGTAAAAGTATATTTCTTCACACACACACACACACACACATATATATATATATATATATATATATATATATAACCTTTAGAAAAAAAAACCTTGTTCAATACACGTTCAATACTTTCTTCTGTGTCAGCCAAACGTGGTCTTCAAAGAGGATTGGTTTTCTAAATATTTAATATCTC